GCGTGGGCGGAATTTTCCCCCCCCGCAGTCAATAGGCTCAGCTACATATCGGAAACGCCATTAGGGATGTTCACGAACTACCCCTAGTATCTGAGTACTGTACTGTACAGTACCCCTCAACAAGTATGATATCACACCTGAACGCGGGGGTCAAAATTTTGTATCGCAGATTGTCTCCACGCCTCAGCCGGACACCGAACTTAGGTTCGAATGTTCTTGAGGGGTACTTGCACCAAGTGCCCTCCGTTTACTTGTGTCGTACTAGCATGGCGGGGTAGCCATGTTATAACCAACACAGATGTCGTTGTCTTCACTCGTCGCCAAATTATCTCATTTCTAAGAGCAACTGTTGCACAAGGCGTCACTCGAACCACTTGTTGGATGTCATCATCGAGCACAGCACAAGTGGCGTCAAACAGATGTCCGTATGTTGTAACGGCCGTGTGAAATCTGTGAGGGCCCGTTTATCCCACCTGGAAATCACTGGTGCCCGCATACTTTCTCCCATTTGCCGGTACAGTACCTCAATTTACAACACTACCATAGCCACTTAGTATAGAGACCGTTGCCAAGGGGTGGCCCACAAGAATATACCGCTTTCGGAGTTGGTTAGGATTACCTAAACACTCGCTGGCCAATCAGCAAGGGCTGTGAGGTTTGGTGTCCCTTCGCTCTGGTCGTTTTCTCTATTCCTTTCCTATAATATTATAGTGTAGTCAATGCGAATTTTAAACCCTTCGTCTTGGGAACGGTCTCTATGAGCTGGGTGGTTGTGGTGCTATAATTTACTTACTCGAGTAGAGCTTTCCTTTTTATCGTTATCACGCCTGCGTTAGATGGAATAAATCTGTTAGATCCCGTCTTTTTTTGTTCTTTGCTGCATGTACTCCAATCTATAGTGTTGATAGAAGGATTTCTTTATGTTCTTGGATGCTTTGTTCGTGTCTTTATCCTGTCTCCAAGACTGGTCCAAGTTAGCATTTATGGATGTTTGATTCTACCCCTCTCCGCTGCCCCTGTTGCTTCTTTGTTGGTCTTTGTCTAACGTTTTATTAATAAGTATGTCTGTGTAGTTTAGTGTGGATGGAAAGCACGTATAAGTTCAAACATTGAATATTCATAAATAGGCAGTCTATACCCCTCCCTCCTGCTTCCTGCCTTTATGCTATACAAGTCTTTACCAAACAGTCTATCCATCTATCCAATGCTATTGCTTCTGCTATGAGCTATCGCGTATTGCTGCATATGTGTTCACTCAAATTTAGTAGTAAGCTATGAGGATACGCTTAGTGGAAGACTCAAGAACTGGGGAAGTATAGGAACCGATTGTCCCATTTACTAATTCTGTATCTCACTCATAATTATAAACCTGGAGTTCTCAAGAAGATTGGAATAATTGTATAAACCTTTATTTGCAACCGCCCGGGATAGTCCCGGCGAACATGTTTTACTTTACACTCGATGGTCGTAAGAGAAAATCAGAAATTCCAACCACTTACTGTAACAGATAATTAAAACGATCATTTTGCGTACAGGATAACAAACTCCCAGCCTTTTATAAAACCCTTAAAGGGTCATCTCCGCCACCTTTTCGCCCAAGCAGGTAGCAGTAACTGTAAACTTCACCTGAATATCCAAGCCAACAGGGATAATCCTTTTATCCCAGCACAGAAGTCAGTACCAATAGGGTCGGGGCTCGGAGAAAGAGAAAACATACACCTCTTGACTATCGTCCTCCATTTCCTGTGGTTCCGGGACCACATCAGGCTTCTTCTCCCCGGGAAGTTCCCACAAAATACAATCGACTGTCTCAATTAATTTGTTCTGAGCCTTTTCGGTTAAAGATCTCAACTTTGGAGCAATGATTGGAAGCTTCTTAAGTGTAGCTTCGATCCCCTGAGGCCCCATGGAGAATAATTTGAGAGTGATTCCCTTAGTCAAGTTAATAGTAACGCCATCTTCGGTTTCGTGAAGGGTGTAAGCGGGTTCGGTAGACTCGGAAACGGTGAGCTTAATACTATCGGTAGGTAATTCTATGGGCTCGGCCAGGCCAGTTGGAGGCCGAGAATTCAAATCAGTAGCCATATCCGGAAGGTTCATTCCGTCCTTGAAGATATTGGGGATAGCGTGGCGGATGAGTGTGACTCCTAAGAGCTCAGTAGTATTGTCCTCATTGCAGTTTTCGGGGTTTTCTTCGGCACCCTCCTCGAACCTTTCCCCGGAACCTTCCTCGGCGCTCTTCCCGGAACCTTCCGGGGTGTTCTTCTCGGAACTTTCCTCGGCATTCTTCTCGGCACTTTGCTCGGCGACCCCTTCGGAGCCTATTTTAGAGCTCTCACCAGAGCTCCCCTCAGAGCTTTCCACGGAGCCTCCTTCGGAGCTCTCTTCAGAGCTTTCCTCAGAGCTTCCCTCAGAGTTTTCCTCGGAGCTTTTCTCGAAGCTTCCCTCAAGACTTCCCTCAGAGATTGCTTCGTACCCGGATTCAGAGCTCGCCCTTTTCCACCCGCTATTACTGCCAGTCTCTTCCTCCCTGTGATCTGGATCCGATTCCGAGACTACGTTAGCTACTGGGTCACTCCCATGCACACATTCGGTATCACCCTCACTGGAATCATCTCCTTCCGAAGAGGACAACTCGGGTCCGCGCTCGCTCTCTGAAAAACTCCTAGACCGAATTCTGGTTGTCATAATTGGTTGTTCCATGGGCGGTCCATGAACAACAGTTAAAGAAATTTCGGAATTGTCAAAAGACACTGCAAAGGAGTTGGCATCCGGAGCCAGGTTAACAGCTGTGATGGGAGTGTTGTTGTTATCGGAATAATGAGTTCGCCAGATGGGGGTATCATCTCGTGGAGACATTTTCTGATTTATTTTCCAAAGTTGTCAGTTGGTATGAACTTTCTTTATTGCTGAAATGGGTGTATTGTTATCTACCTTTGTGGTTGAAGGGATGGTGACAAGTGTTGGAGAAAGCAATTAGGAAAGGGATGCTATAAGGAAAGGAAGGTGGGAAGCAAGGTTTATTGAATTGATGGATTGAATGGGATTGGAGCTGGGGTTTCGGTTTTCTATCTCGAGTACTGTACCTTTAATTCTTTACAAACAATTAGGTTCGGGCGAGACCTAACTACTTCCTACATCCACAAATAGTAAGCTCACTTGAGACTGTCTTTCCCAAAATTTGAATTATGGATAATTTCCATAATAAGTATTAAAGAAACATGATATAGAAGTGGTATCATGTATCTATTAGAATTATTATGGTCTGTTTTGATACAGCTGTTCCATTCCATTGACCCGTATAAAGTGACCGATTCGGAATGGAAATAAGAGGGTTTTTATATGGGAAACAGTTATGGAACAGGACAATTGCGGCGTTGCCAAACAGGCACCTAATAAGCAGTCATATCAGAAGAGAGGCTGCCTATAGAATGGGAGGTTGCAATAATCCTAAATTAGAATATATTACAGCTCAAACCAGACTGTGAATTCTACTTGGCACCTAAAGCTATTTACTGTATTTTTATAAGTAGGAATGGAAAAGCTTGATGTCTCGAAACAATTCACATAATTGTGGACTTATATGTGTAAATCGTGGAAAAAAAGGAGGAAGAAAGAGCATAAAAGTTTAAAACCACTTACTCCTATAACATGCCGGACAGTCTTACTTTTAAAGTACCTTTAAAACAGCTAAGAGCCTGTTTGTATACAACGGTTCCGTTCCGTTTGTGGTAGTTTCTACTATAAAAGTATAGACAAACAGAAGAAAAACCTACTTAGTAGTTTAGTATGGGATCAACGGAGTGATATAAATAGACTGTGAAGAGAGTTGATCTCTCTAGTAAGATACTCGATTAGAAATCATCAAATTCCATCGCTCACAGCAGGAGCTGGACGCAAAATGTGATTTAGCTTCAACATAACCTGCTAACACAAAATAACGGGTGCACTGAGTTCCTTAAAGGCCAATGCAGATGAGTACTATTAATTTCATTATCCCATTCTCCAGTTCTTAGTACTGTAGAATCTTAAATACTTGTATCGTATGTTAGCTAGTTCGTAATTTTGTCAACCAATAGAAACTATTCTTTCTTTAGGCACGAATAAGTACTCCCTCCACTTTCCCAAAGCCGTAATACTACATTCTGTTTTTTAAAACAATAATACTGACATTTATGCCAAGAGGGGAATTAATCGAGAACTACTTGCAGATTTTATTGCCCTTTCGCTTTCACCAATCTCCTTCACTAATTCCGACCTAAATCCGTGGGAATGGGTGGTCCCGTCTTATCCGATACAACCTCATAAAAGCCTCTCCGCAATCCTAGAGTCTAAGAAACCAAACTCCTTTACCGGCTTCTAAGAACCCGAGAATGGATCAACTCTTCTGCGCACGTGCAGAAAAAGAGCACTCTTTAGTGGGCGTGGCCCTGCAAGATGACTTTCTGAGTGCATTTGTATGACGTTACACCTACTATTATAGTTTCCACTATGTACGAGTGAGAATTTATGCCTAAATCTAGTAGTAACCCCCACTAACCCCGCAAGTTGATTTTGAGAAAGCGGGTTGTGGGGGACTCTTTTATCACGGAACTACCGTACCATATTGTAAACCGTCACATGTAGCGGAAATACTGGTATAATCCACTATCTCCGCCAGTTTTCTAGTCTCCCTGCTGGGAGACAAAAGCACTTAAGAAGGAGTAGTGTTTTCCTCACACGGCAAAACTTGAGCGCGCCGACCGTGTTGGATCTCACTAACTGGTATTCAGAATTCTGGTAACCTGTCAAACTACTAGTAAACCTATCAAGAGCTGAGGAAGGGATTAGCGGATATTAGGTGTCCGGCGGAGATAGTGGATCATAAGAGTACCGGTACAGTACCGTAAATACGGTATGCGGGAATTTCTAGCGGGTAACGGCAACGTCATGGTCATATATCATACGGAGAATTCGAGCTGGGTATCCTCCCAATTGCTAAGGTTTAATAATACGAGAGGGTGCCTACAAGCATAAAGGTATCCGACTCCTCTCCATCTGTTACTCCAGTACAACCTCTCCGAATCAAATTTACCTATCGGTTTTCCCTATTACTCATTTCATCAACCCCGATAAAACCCACCAGATTTGACAAATGGTTAAAGTTTTTGTTCTCGGGTCCTCTGGCTTCATTGGCTGTGAGTCTTATTGCGAGCAAATACTTCTTTAAGTGCTATATCTAACTTCTTTCCCATAGTCGCGGTAGCTCTTGCCCTTCGCCGCAATGGCCATCGAGTCTATGGTCTTGTCCGCGACCCTGCCAAGGTACCCAACCTAGCGAAGCACGAAATCACTCCTGTTATAGGCGATGTCCTTCAACCTTCCTCCTGGACCTCGGTAATTGAATCCGAAGGGATAGACGTGATCGTTGATTCGTCCAATATCGGCAAAGATGTGAGCAAAATATTCACCGAAGTCAAAAGATTGGGAGAAGCTCGGTTGAGCGGGCTTCACCGGGGACCAAAGCTTGCCTTCATTTCGTTCTCGGGAACATGAGTTCACGGGGCGCGGCCAGACGTGAGGGATATCGTGAATGAACTGACTACTCCAAGTCCTCTTGAGTTGGTAGCTTGGCGGCCAGCTACGGAGAACGAATTATTGAGTTTGAGTGATGTTTTGGATGTTGCAGTCATAAGGCCGACCATGGTTTATGGCGGGAGTGGTAGTATTTTTTCCATGCTTGTGGCCCCGATAGCTGCGGCGGTGAAGGAAGGTGCTTCCGAAGTGAAGGTTCTGGGGAGAAAATTCGAGCTTTCTGTGATACACAAAGACGATGTAGCTGACTTCACGCTCAAGGTTGTGGAAAAGGTAGATAGCTCTTTGTTTTTTGTTTTTTTTTTGCAATCTCAATGGAAGAAGTTTCTGACCCTTTGCAGATATCTTATGTGGGAGCTTTGTCTTATTCGGTTTTTGATATCACAACTCAACACGAATCCTATACCGATATCATTGAGGCTGCGGCGAAGCATATGGGGTTCACGGGTGCTATCACTTATAGGGATCCGGAAGGCACTATGACAATGCTTGAGCAGGCGATCCTCACCCAGTTCAACACTAGCAGTGACCGGGCTAGGACTTATTTGGGATGGGAGCCGAGGCATAGGGATATCATGGGGCAGATTGATATCTATGCTGCAACTATGGTTGCCCATTTGTAATTGGGAGCGGGTGAAATGATACTTTTCTTTTTCTTTTTTCACCTCCTATAAGTAAGGAATACAAAATATTTGACAATCATGATACCACAGATGATTCACTCATGCGATGAGGTGGGGTCAATTTATTCTCTGGTGGAAATCCGAAATTATTTGGCTGTGAGATTGCGAGAGTGTGCTATACCCGTACCATACCCGTAAATTGTGGGTAATAGCTTGATAAGCTTACCTCCTGTTACAATCCAGTACTTGTACTTCCACTCGAGCATCATATAGTACCGCCTCCTACAGTACGGGTATGAGTATAAGTATGATACAATTCTCCACATACCCGTATCATAGCAACCTTTGCCCAAACGAGCGGTGGCTCCAAAAAGCTCTATTAGGACCTGTTTGGTTGCAATGGTTCCATTCCGTTTTACTACCGTTTCCCACATAAAAATTGTGGTCCCTCCATTCTGAAACGGTCATTTTGTATGGGATAACGGAATGGGACTAACGCAACCAAACGGCCATAAGTTATCATGACATTGGTTGTGGATTCGTAGGGTTAGGGTTCTTGTGATCACGCTTTCACGGAACATTTGGAACGCGTCTCCCCGCATCACGACTTCCCACGGGGAGCCTCTCCCAATCCGAGTGAATAACCCACAAACATGGCTACTTTTTTATCTCAGCATCCAATTCCCTATCCAGAAGGTCGAAAACGAATCTTCGAGTCTGTATTCCCGCCTTCAGCATCCTCCACCTTACCGACACCTCTAGCCACCCCTGCATCCTCATTCGTTGCCCCACCATCACAACCATCACAGCCGCCACAAACGCCTACTCCCTCCCACGGCTATAACACCCGGCATCACCCCAATGTTACGCCCTCTCCAGCCCCCATATCGTTCGCCCCTAGTCCAGCAGCTATATTCGCGAAGGAATCCAGAGCGTGGCATCTAGCGACAACATACCTCTCATTCCCCGTAGATCCCTTCCCGGGCAGCCTCAGAGAATATGTGCAAACACACCAAGACCCGACAAGAGATGTGGCGGAAGCAATCCGATACCTGACGATTCATCACGCGGAAGATGCAACCTCTGAAACAAGCCTCTTGGAATGGTACACTTGCGAAGTCCGAAGACACTTCCTAGCTCACGTTCGTCCGGAGATATCGATTCCAACGGAATACACTGATGGTGCACGTTTGTTAGAAGAAATACTCGGCCGATTGACTACCGCTCAAAGCATCTATCTATTTCGTTTGAGAACCTACATCATTCCAGAGAAGAGGAAAGGGAGGGCACGGAGGAACCTGGATAGCTGGGACGAGAGCGACGATACAAAGGTCCAGGCGTTCGTCAGATCGTTAAATTCAATTATCTCTTATTCACTACCTGATCCCGCTTGGAATAAGCTTGTCTACGAGGATTTTTTAGGGTTGTGTGGAATAGCGGTCGGATTACCTGGAGACGACGATGGGGATGACGACGATGACACAGTGCTTGATGCCGAGGAGGCAGGGAACGACAGTATGAGTGGAGATGAAGATATATATCACGGCGTGAGATTAAGTCAACAAAGCTTTGCTACAGAAACTGACTTTGATGGAGATATCGTTGTCGATGATGATGGAGTCGCGATTGGGAACCCCAGAGATATGGATGGGATTGATGAGTTTGGTGTTTATAGGCAGAGGGTTGAAGAAAATGCCGAGGAAAAGAGGAAGAAGCGAAAAGAGGAAAAGCCGAGAGAAAAGGCCCGAAAGAAGGTCCTGGAGATTTGGGCGGCTATGGAAAAGCTGGGTGTTGGTGGTGGCGGTCGAAGAGGAGAAAGGGTATTTGCAGAGGTAAAAAATAGGCCACAAGCCCGTTAGGTCTTATCAGGTACTAACAAACTTCCATGCAGGTTATCAATACTCTCTTGACCACCTACATAAACGCTCACTTTGCTGGAGTTTGGGAAACTCCTTCCAAAGTTGGCGACGACTTGAATCACTGGGTAGAGCATGTTCTCGGGCAATTAGTTCTGGACGTTTTATTTTCCTCCAAACCACCCAATTCCTCTGAAGGTTGGGCTACCAGGCTTAAAAAACTGAGCCCCCGGGAGAGTTTTAGGGCTAGTCGCCAGAGTCTTGATAACCGGAAGAAGGGGGCGATGGAAGTAGATGCGGGGGCAGGTGTGGGAGAGGATGATATCAAACGAAGGAAGGAAGACTTGGAAAGTTGGAAACGTATTGCTGTTGGCAGGCTCGGTAGACTAAGAGTTGGTGAACTATTCGACGTCGTTGTAGAGTGGCCAGAGAGTCTTGGAGGTGTCGAGGATTTAAAATCCTATATTATATCACCGCAAACCCGCCTACACCTAACGACAACTTTCACCTCTGCCTTGTCTACTCGTCTCCTGCATCCGGCAGCCGCAACCTCCGATATACTCCGGGCTTATATCTCTTTGATCCGTGCTTTCACCGTTCTGGATCCTCGTGGTGTCTTGCTCGATAGGGTTTCGCGAGGTATCCGGCGATATCTCCGAGAACGCGATGACACTGTCCGTGTAATAGTGAGAGGGATAATGTCCGAGTCACTACCTGACGGATTAGAAGATGCCGAAGATCTCTCAGAACTTGCTCATGAACTTGGAAAAGGCATTCCGGCCACTCAGCAAGGTGGAGGGCTTGAAGAACTAGATTATGATGACTTGTCTTGGGTACCCGACCCAGTTGACGCAGGCCCTGAGTTCCGAAGAAGCAAAGGTCTCGATGTGGTTGGAAGCTTGATCTCACTATGGGAGAGCAGGGAAGTCTGGACGAAAGAAGTAGCGGCAGTATTATCTAGTAGACTTCTTGGTAGTGATGAATGGCTCTTCGAAAGGGAAATCCGCACTATCGAGCTCCTCAAACTTCGATTGGGAGAAACAACAATGCAAGGCTGCGAAGTCATGCTTAAGGACATTGCGGATTCTAAGCGATCGGATGCACACATTCGAGCCGAGGAACATCTTGAGATAGAGGGCTTCCCGGAAATTCACACCAAAATCCTTAGCAGGCTGTTCTGGCCAACAATGAAAGAGGGTGGGTTTCAAGTTCCTCTAGAAATCAAAGAGCTGCAGGAACGCTATGAGCGAGGGTTTGAGAACCTCAAGAAAAAGCGGAAGCTCACTTGGCTACAAACAATGGGAACGGTGGAGGTAGAACTTGAGCTCGAAGATAGAGTGGTTCAGTTCCCTGATGCCACAACATGGCAAGCAGCGGTCATACACCAATTTGACGAGGAGGGACTATCTGATCAATGGACCATCCCACAGTTGGCCGACAACCTGGAAATGGAGGAATCCCTGGTTAAGAAGGCAGTGCAATTCTGGCAAAGCAGGGATATCCTTAGAGAAGGTAGCAACGGCGTCTACGCCGTAATAGAAAACCTCGAAGAACTCGAAGCCAACACCCCTCTCCATACTGGTGTTACTGCAGCGGAGGAAGAAGAGGAAGTCACCGACGAAAAGAAACGAGAAAGGATGATTGTTGAGCAATTTGTGGTTGGAATGTTGACTAATGGTGGAGCAATGCCTCTCGAGAGGATTTCGGTGATGCTCGGGCTCGTCCCTGGAGGGTTTTCCTGGGGACAAGAGGAGTTGAGGGAATTCTTGTCCCGAATGAAATCGGAAGGAAAAGTGGAGTATGAAGGAGGCAGTTGGAGGATTCCGAAGACTTGATTCCTTTCGGCGTTTTGTAACATACATTATTGAGGTTGCAGGATTTTAAATACCATAGATTCTCGAAGTTATTGACGCCCTTATTGGTGTTTCTTAGTCCCTGGTGTTTCTAGATTTAGCGTTCTTTTGTTTTTGCGCAGTATCAGCGGGTGTTTGAAGCCTTGCACGACCTTAAGGTGCTAATTGTACTAGGGCAAATCTTGGGAGCTTATTCGGGGGCCGCCAGCCTATTCGGTGTCGCCTAACGTCTTTCCCACATACAAAAAAACGCTACAAAACTGGTTTCCCTCTATGTAAGTCGCGGTTCCCATATATGGGTGTCGCCCGACTTAATGCACCCCCCGAGTGGTTGAGACGACTTTGTGCAAACTCATTAATATAATGGTGGAAAGGTTCAATTTCAGAGTCTTTGGCAATAGCCGAGACGTGCTTTTGCTAACCTAAGCGAGCAGTCTCGTATCATAATCAATAGCGCTTCCCATATCAGCTTTTCCCCTGCCATCCACCCTCCGAGATTCCCGAGTGACAAACTGTGTGTCTCCACTTCCCGACACAGCGCACTCCAAGCCGAGGAACAGTCCATCCGATTACCCTCACAGCACTGAGCCGGAATCACAGCGTACCGGGCCCAGTCTCGTGTCTCCGAACCCCCATACACGTAAGACAGTAGGCGGCGAGCTCACAAAGAGTCAATCGGGTTGCCATGCGTGAGGACACGCTGGTTAATAGTGCCGTAAGGACCAGACGGCCCCGCTCAGGATTCGGGCGGTAAGTTCGCGCAGTCTGCGGTACGGTAATGATACGGTGCGATAGTCTACTATACTGCGAACCCTTCCTGCAATGCCAGCTTTAATAAATTTACCCAATCGCAGATCGTTCCAATTTTGGTACGGTGCTGTCTTCATCTCTTCTGTGAAATCTTTCCCAGCTCGCATTTCTTCTTTATGATTAACGTGAATGTTTTTCTCGGGTATCTGTGTCTTTCTTTTTCGTTTAACGTTGGTTTTTGACTCACACAATGTCATTATTTATAATTCTGGCTCTTTTTTTTTTTTTTTGCTAACTTACAACTAATATTATTCACTACATGCGACGATATCTTCCGGATATGATCACTTTATTCCTGTCCATTGAATGTTTGTTGTATGTATGATTGCTGAGTTTTATATGATATTCACACTTTCTCGCATCCTATTATACCCTGAACCCTGTTTCCCTTTTTTTTCCTTTCTTCTTCTTCTTTTTAAGAGTGTATTTGTACTATACTTGTATTTTTATTTTTTTCGAGGAGTGTCTAACTCACGCAGGAACATGCTGGTAAATGAAATTCTTTTTTTCCTTTTTTCCTTCCTCCGTTTGGTATCAGATTGCCTGCGGGATCTGCCATACCGGAAACTTCAGTAAAGCCGCGCGTGTCCAATTGATATTTTCAATTACGAAGCATCATGCATTATCACTCAAACCATCTCATACACAGTTGAAAATCGAAGTCAACACTTATCATAGAGCATCTCGTATCACTATCAGAACAGAACAATAACAAGAGCCAATACACACAAATTTCCTACAACAGTTACCAAATTCTCGGCCCTCCTTGACTAAATCTCAAAGCTGACTAAATAATATTATCCAAAAATCTATCAAAAAAAAAAAATCTAAAAATCTAAAAATCTAGAAATCTTCCACACAAAGCCTACGGGCCCACTAATAACAACACGACCTGCAATAACAGCAAAACTGAAAAAAAAAACCCCCCTCATGGCCAACCATTTCTACCTATAATACTAAGTTAGTACTTCGCCAGTCCACCATTTCAAAACAGTCTCTCAACAACCCTGCCGGCAAATACGTCCAGTCCTCTCTTTCCTCCGCCAGGAACTATCAGTACTTTGTCATCTACTTCAATCCACTCTGCCCGTCCCTGGTCGAACTCAAACATGAATTTCCTTCCTACTCCTTCCCCATCTGCGTGTTTCGCCTCCTTAATCTCTTCATCGTAATCGAGACTGAATATCTCATCACTCCTGATAAGTAGTGGTTCGATAGAGACAAGTCTTGCGATGGCGCGGATTGAAGCAATGTACACGACTACACTGCTGCCGGAGATAAGGGAATTGGCTTCATCGCCGAGATTGGTTGTAAAGCCAGTATATCCCTGTGGACAAGAGCTCGCGGCGAATGAGGAGGGGCGATTGAAGATTACCATACCCTTTCGGAGCTTCGTAGAAAGAACGGGTGGAGCGATGGTCTGAAGGTTTGCGAACGCCACGGCTTTTGCGCTATTTGCCGGTGTACCTAGGGAACCATTTTGCAACTTGATGGTGTCGTTACTGTTCTTTGATTTTGTCTCGCACCCTAACCCGCTCAAATGCAATTGCGAATTCGGTACTGGGCCTGCGAGAGGTGTATCAAGATGGGGCGCTGGCTGGATAGGCATGATTCCGAGAGTGCCAGCTTCACCAGCGAAGAGAATATTCACCGGTAGCCTGAGTCTGCGAACGGAAACAACTTTTACCAATTTCCACTCCCAGTCCTCGCCAGACGCACTGCTATGCACAGTATCGTCACCACGTGTGATTTTTAGTCCGGATCGCTTACGAGAGGTGGCCCTCGTCTCGTTAGCACTGTCTGGGCTCTTGGACATGAGCCCCGGCAAATGGCCGACAGATGGTGATAGCAGAGGATGGGGGGCAGGAGTAGCAGGAGTCCCTTCGGCTGATGGCGGGTTGCTGGTATGGTCGACAGGCGTTAGGGGCCCAACCAGCAACTCATCACCAATAGAGATTTTCCCATACTTGACATGCCCACCAACCACAGCCCCCCGATTCCCATCCTCTGCACTATGCGCGGGTTGAAATCCATAGATTTCCTCGAGATGGAACAAAGTGGACAATCCGCAGTCTTCCTCCATTACAACCCTCGGCTCTCCTTTATCTACCCTGATCTTCTGCGTCCCTTCCTTGACACCCACCGAGCTAGCGCCTAGCAAAGGCCCAAGAGCATTTAACGCCCTCGGTGCTTCAGGGGGCTCAGGTACTGGAAGTCTCATAATCAACTCATGGAGTAGGTCAACCCCTTGTCCGTTGACAGATGAAGTAAACAAAATGGGCACCGTGTGTTCGGGGTCACCTTCCACGAGCTTCACGACATCCTTAACGCTTGCACTTGTAGAGAGTGGGGCAGGCTTCCTCCCACCCTGCTTTAAAATGGTCAACAAGTTCCCAAACACTTTTTTCAATCCCGTCTTGGTACCTAGGTCCCGTTTCGTGAAGACGACGATCATTCTTAGGCCTAATTCCAAGCAAAGATTGAGATGAGCGAGGCTAGCTTTGCTCAAACCGGAAGACACCTCGGCACCCAAAGTCTCATCATCATTTGCAGTGACAAGAAAAGCGGCATAATGTGGTGCCCACCCAATAAGCGATTTAAATGTGGTCCTACTGAACTTGGGATTGCCGGCAGAGTCTGACAGAAAAACAATTCTTCCTCCATCTGCCGCTGCGTGGATGTCGGTCCAAGAGGATATATTACCCGAGGCATAATTCACCAACCTCGACGGCCCACCATTGCGGCTTGCGGACTTGAGCTCCGCTTTGGAGACCTCGGGCATGTAACCCAAGATCTCCCATGTCACGGATGAGGTGATACCAGACACCAATTCGTGTCTGTGGCGGAGCAGCGAGATTCTACTTTTCCCACGCCCGTTGTCATGCTCGCCAGTACTCAGGGTCCCCAAGAGGGTGGTTTTTCCACAAGTAGTGGCCCCTGTCAGCGTAATCCTAAGTTGCTCAGTCTTCCTTCTAATCCCTGGCTGCGCCACATTTTGTTCCGGAGCGGGCCCTCGGGGGGTGCAGTTTTGTCCATGGCCCGGTTGGACAAAGGCTTCTACGACCCATAGCGGGTCGCCAACTTTGGGAATGCCGAAACTCTCCTCGGAGCCTGAGAAGCCCACCCCTTCCACATTTTGTTCGTCCATCTGGCCCTTCGCCAGCAGCGCAATCTTTTCTGCCGGTTCCTGATCTCGCTGCTTGGCTTTCATAAGTTCGGCTTGCTTTCCTTCTTCGCGCCGTAGGTCGTGCTTTTTGACTGTACCAACAGCTTCCTTGCGAAGTACTCTAACAGTACATCCTAGTCTTGCGGCCATTATGTGCAAAGTGTCCAGAGATTCTTGCAGTTCCTCCTCGCAAAGCCCGATAAGTTTGCCATCATCGGCAACCCCGATTTCGTAGAGCGCGCCTTGAGACTCCTGAACCAGCGAGGAGATTGCTTCGGGAGACTTTGAGTCAAGGGAGTTAGCGTGGTACCTGGGGTAGTAGACTAATCAGCAATGGCGACCAAGATTCCGGGTATGGGAGCAACGCACGGGCTACTCTGTTGTAACCTCCAGAGCAATTGAGTCACCAACTGGTCCAATCGCGCCTCACTCTTTCCACCTCTAGCAAGACTTAGCTTGTATTCAGTGGCGCCCATCTGAGGTTCGGCGGCCAAGCCTTTTACCATCTTCCCACTGGAGATAACAACCCCTTCTCTGTCGCCATCTTCCATGAAATGTTTTCGGATCTTGCCGGAGTTATTGTTGGCTCTCAAATGCCCCGGAGCACCATCATCGATCAAATCCGGCGATCCGGCCTTAGGATTTGGCGTTGTAGATGGAGTAGGATGAGCGGGGGTGTTATTCGCCCATGGAGAGGCGGGTTTAGGAGGCGATGGGTTAAAGGTAAAGATGCTAGACATGATGGACAATAATTGAGGGATTGGCCTCCAGATAGCCGAGTGTCGGGGGCAAGTACGTAGATGCAAGCCCCGAGGATTGGGCTTTCGCCCACGAGGGTGGATGGAGCCGCGATAAAGTTCGCGCGGAAAAGAAGCTCACGGAGAAGCAAGCAATGCCTTTATCTAGGCCACAGCTTTTGATACCGGATCCCCTCCCCCTGTCACCGATTTCCAGTCTCCAGTTTCTTCCGTGGGGTTTCAATGATGTCTTGGCAGAATCTTTCAAAGGAATACGTGTATGGTTCCTATCAGGGCTGCGAGGAGTAGTAGGTGAAATATTACAATGGATTGGGTATTCGTACGGTGCATTCGGAACAACTTTGATAGCCGAGGAATCATGTTTGAAGTGTGCTTGTTGAAGCCCTGTGAGGTTGAGTAACAGCAAAAAAGAGATCACGATGTTTGCAAAGGACAGCGAACGGGACTTGTGACGGGTCAGCTTTTGGCCGAGTCAGTCGAGGTTAGGTGGGGTTCAAGCGGACATCTTTATTATTCAGGGACCAGTTGCGGATTCTGAAGTTGAAGGGGTGACAAGCGAAATGAAGCGGAAAGTAATGAGTTGGGGGGGGGGGAGACAGCTAAGGTTATTTAAAGACCCGGGTGCGTCCCAATGGAAGTGTATGCAATGATGATGACTGTAGGCCAATGAGTCAATGGACCCAGGGGAGTGTGATCGCTTGTACTGCACAGGCACTGCCGGTACGAGTACTCGTAGTAGCATAGGATGGGCTCGTCCAATGGCCAACTCAATAGAGCAATGCCCTCAACCGACAAGATGATACTGCAAGATGAGATCTTCCCAGGATCTTTCCAGCAACCTGCAGCACTCGGATCTAATTTAGAATTCCGGGCCAACATGAGGTACCAATGTACGCCAAGAGTTAACACATGTTGATAAACTGCCTCATTCATCGAGTGCGGCTCAAAAGCGGAGCGAGACCCGAGAGAACCCGCTACCGCGCTCTCGAGTACTCGTACTCGTAGAGTCAAGTAGACCCCATTGATCAATTTGAAACACACTTTATTTGATCGCGTTAACGCCGCTTCCAGCCAGCCAGTTAAGCCTTCATGATGATCCAAGTAGCTCAACTCTTGAGCAGCTCGCAGCCACCCGTCAACCCGTTTTCAGCCACGATAGACTGCTGGATGAGTAACAAACGGTTAACTGACGGTAGCGGATGGTGATGGTAAGAACTCCTAAGGAAAATGAGAGATTCGCTGCGTCAAACTGGCCAGGGAGGCCCCTCTCTCTACACATACGTGCCGGTACTCGCCGCCAAAACCCAAGACAGTTGGTAGAGCTATATAAATTTATTGAAGTACTCGTACTCGTCGTACCCACTCCATCAACCATCCCATGCAGCCACTAACGGTATCCACAGTACTCGTACTGTACGTGTACAGGAGATCGATTAGCTTTAAGTTAGCTCCGGACATCCTCATTCCCAATTCCCTGGAATCCCGTAGAACAACCAAGCGGGATATCCCGAAATATTGGGGCACTTAATTTACATGGGTTTTGGCTTGGAGAGAGTCTCCGCGAGCGCAACGGATGATGGGATTCTATCACCCATGACCTTGGAAGCTTCGCCACTGGGCGCCCGAAAACAAGCATAGAGATCACTGTGTTCACTGCTATGTACTAGTATACACTTTGCTTGCCATAGCGACAGATGCTTCCCCATTGTTTGCGCCACACATATGGAGAGAGCCTTCAAGTCCCCCACCCCATATCGCTATGGCTCATAGAATGTCACTCAGTTTTTGACACCCGTCATCAAAGACTCTGTCTGGTTGAATTTGGGGACAAACTCTGACACGGCGTGGTAAATATTGAGCTCACCCTACGCCCTCCAATGTGCTCGGCATAGGCACGATCCCTTCAACCTTACTTTCTATGATTCTTAACCAAAATATACGGTAGTCATATTGCGGGACAGATATCTCATGAAAGAAGCGGAAATCATTTCTGCCCTTCCCGAGAATGTAGCCCTGGAAGGGGGATGCGGCGTTACGGTGTGAAAACCTTTGCCCACGGGCGGCTGATTGGATGTCTGCCCATTTCTTCCGGCAACTCTGCCTGTCACACTTTTCTTTCTCGTTATTATTTTCCTTGTCTGTGCCTAGAATGCGCCCTTGTCGGGGATGGATTGGTATGAGTGGAAAGAGGGCTTATGGAGTTTAGGTCCGTATTTGAACTCTGAGTAGCGTAGCAACTATAAACCACGTGAGGGCTCAGCGAGGCGGCACCCTCAGCGAGGCGCGGCATCTCTTGGCAGCAACGAAACCCTACCACTTTTTTTTCTCTCTTCTCTCAATACATGATGAACATTCTTCCTCTTTCCCTCTCCCTACTCAAACAACTCACAACACAAGAAACCAACAACACAATTACCTCCGGAGAGCTGCTCTACTTTGGAGGTGCTATCAACAAAAGCCAAGTAAAAAGTCAATTGACACCTCCCCGGGAGCAGAAGCTGTACACGCTCCTGCTCCCACTTCAGAACTCTCTCCAAGTTCTTGGTCCAATCGACTTCCTGTTTCTTCCTCCGAACTGCCTACACACAAAAAATCCTCCACAACATTCTGTGCCATATCCTTAAGGGGTTTTTCAAAATTTCTCACCTTTCGCTCAGCCTCTGAGATCTGTTCAGCAAGGTGACCTTCCTCTTACAACAATGCTGCTCCAGCTTTTTGATGCTTTGGTAATCTCCCCTCCTCTTCTAACCTCTCTGCATCCTTTCTCTTATACATTCTGCTAACTTTTTCCTCCTACTCTTGACTAGATTTGTTGCATTTTGATATTTCTGTTGTATGGTTTCTCTTTTTTCTTGAGTTTGGGATTTAAAATTCTTTGTGATATCTTCACGGTCGATTTAAGCCTTTCCACTTGTGGGTATCCAGGTACAATTTACATTTCCTCTCCGGTGAGTTTCTGCTAACTGGTTCCTTAGATTCTGTATCTGGTGATCCTTCTCTTTGCTATCGGTAAGTCCTCTTTTAGTACTTATTGCTAAATTACTAACAATCTTCTGCAGTCCTCAATCAATAGGATTATTTTGTGGTAATATTGCCAATGTGATTAATTCCTGTTGCTCAATTTCTGATTTGTCCAAAGGTACCTCAAGGTAATTGATCTGTTGCGCAGTAATATAATGATCCCTATTTGGATAGTTAGTGCTTGGCGACGGGGAACGATACTTCTCTTCCTGTCTTCTTCTTTCTTTGTCTAATGATAGCTCTAGGCTTCTGCCTACGTTACCAATAGTACAAGACCCTTGTCTTCTACCGGGACCGCCTATCGTAAGCTTTCTCTAACTCTTCTTCGTAAAGCGCCTTCCTTGGCATAATAATAACGTTGCAATAAAGATAAAGATCGTAAAGGTATTTTATATTCGTTAAAGTAATAAGTAGGAAAAGTACTTAGAATAAAGCGTGAAGAACCTATCTTCCTCGGCCGCATCGGCCTCCTTATATAGTGTTCTTCCCGCCTTTAGTCATGTGACCTAAAGTGGTCACATGTGTGAAACTAAACCATAACAAACTAGTCATATGACCAAAGTGATCACATGCTCAAAACCCATGACCTTATTGCAAGGTCATGTGCGAAACTCATAAACCAATCTTAACGTAATAAACAAGTCATATGACTTGACTGAGTCATATGCACGAAACCCATGACATCATAATGAGGTCATGTGTGAAACATAAATCATATGCGCAAGGCTTACCCGTAAGGCACACTCGTAAGGCATACTCGTCAGGCGCATGTCCCATGACTCATACTTGAGCCATGTGCGAAAGCATCACAAATCCCACACATAACTAATCATATAACCCGAATAGGTCATATGCGTGAAACAATAACATACCTGTGACTCATAACCATGTGTCACGTGAAAACCCTTTCCTCGCTAAGCCACGTTCGTGACAAGTAAAGGTACTTAGCGGTTCTGAATTGGATAGTATCGGATTGGTATTGGGAAAGCTTAGATTTGAATTGGAATAGTCACATGGGGATCTTGGTCTGGAGGCCTGGATTTTAGAGATCACAATATTTCTGTTAATAGGAATCAATCCTGTATTTCAAAACCTGCTTTGAATGTTGTCGGTAGTAAAGGAAGATCGGTGTGCTGTCATGAGAATTTCATAGAAGTTCTCTTTAGAAACCCCATACTTGTGTTTTTCGAATTATCGCGTGAGTTCTTTTTGATACTGGTATTTGTAGGGACTGAATATACAGACATCCAATGGTTGTAATTGATGGGTTGTATGCAGAGGAAGGCAATAAGGAATAATTTTATGTAATATGCAGAATTCTAAAAATTCTATATTAACATGACTACTGTGTCCATCAAAGAGTAAAAGTTGATAATTGCCCGCTGTCACGAACGTGGCTTGGCACGGAAAGGGTTTTCACATAACTCATGATTATGAGTCATAGGTATGTATGTTATTGTTTCACGTATATGACTCATTTGGGTCATATGACATATTATGTTATAATTTGTTATGTTTCACACATGACTCGATTATGAGTCATGAGACGTGCGCCTGACGAGTCTGCCTTGCGAGTGTGCCTTGCGAGTATGCCTTGCGCATATGATTTATGTTTTGCATATGACCTCACTATGAGGTCATGGGTTTCACGCATATGACTCAGTCGAGTCATATGACTTGTATATTGCTATTACGAATATCGCTTGGCGAGGAAAAGGTTTTCACATGACACATGGTTATGAGTCACAAGTATGTTATTGTTTCACATATATGACTCATTCGAGTCATCTGATTTGTTATGTGTGGGATTTGTGATACTTTCGCACATGGCTCAAATATGAGTCATGGGACATGCGCCTGACGAGTATGCCTTGTGAGTGTGCCTTGCAGGTATGCCTTGCGCATATGATTTATGTTTCACACATGACCTCATTATGAGGTCATGAGTTTCGTGCATATGACTCAGTCGAGTCATATGACTTGTTTAATGTGTTATGATTGGTTTATGAGTTTTTGCACATAACCTCACTATGAGGTCATAGGTTTTGAGCATGTGACCAGTTTGGTCATATGACTAGTTTGTTATTATTTGGTTTTACACATGTGACCACTTTGGGTCACATGACTACGGGCGAGAAGAATTCTATATAAGGAGGCCAATGCAGTCAAGGAGGATAGGTTCTTCATACTTTGTTCTAAGTACTTTTCCTTGTCCTTGCTGTTGCTTCACGCCAAGCCTTTCTTTCGCACCCATAGTGGGCCTTGATGCCTTGGATTCTGGGGGAGATATCTGAGTTCGCTCTGTAGTTTATGGGGTCTTTGGTGTTGAGGTCTGTTGGCATTACGTAGTGGATTACTTGTTTGCCTCTCGTTTCATTACTTGCTGGTTATCTCACGATACTGGCACTTCGAGCACTTCATCACAGTCGCTTACGCGCCCCTTTTGGTAAAATGTCTTTGGCTTTCTGTCTATTGTCTACTCGCAGGTTTCGCGTTTGATTGGGGGGGATAGAACATTGTATTTGGGGGGATCACTTGT